GGTCTGTGCCCGTTCTTCCAGTGGACACTGACATATAGGAGACAAGTTACTCTTTGCAGAACACACTGGTTAATCTTTGGATCTGCACACCTCTACTTCAGTAAAATTCAAGCCAGCTGCTACCTTATGCCTAGACATCTGAGCTCACCTGCCGGGATCATGTGGTGGATGGGGTGCTATGAAGAGGTGATACAACGCCAGTCTCCACCACTGGCCTAAGACTTTGGGGTGGGTTGCAGGAGGCCTTCATGTCTAGGTCCTTTTCCCTGAGGACCCCTCAGAAATCACTGCAAAACCTCATCAACTCCAGCACCACCCAGGCTGAATGCAGCATGGCAAAGCATGGCAAAGTGTTGCCCTGCCCTGCTTGTGTCTACTATGCAGGCATGGTGCTGAGGAACAGAAGTCAGGTGAGACTCCTAACGTGTCAAAGAGACTGCTAGCACTTGTTGGAGTGAGGGGGCATCTCTGTGTACACCAGGCATTTTCAGACTCTGAGGATGTGTAATTTCTGCTGTGAAAAGCTCATACTATTAAGTGACAGCTGAAAGCTGGCATCATGGGATGCAAAGCCCAGGGTATGCGGGTCATGTCTTGGCCATGGCTGCTGAGTAGCAGTCCTGCAGTAAAATGGGTTATATCTCATCTTTCTCTTCCTCTTCTCCCCCTATAAATTTTATCCTACGTGGCTCAGACAAGCACAGATCTGGCAATGTAGTAGCAATTAAAATGAAATGAGGAAGTCAATACAGGCTAACCTGGAGGGAAGACACTGCTCTTTCTGCAAATGCAGAGAACTGCTGGGTGTGCTGGGTGGTTCTGCAGCAGGCACCTATCCTGAAATCATTTGCTGTAGTAGTTTTAACTGTTGTTAGTGATGCATGAGTAATGATTTTGGCTTGCCCCCCCCCAGTCGTCCTTCATCTTCCCCTTCCTTCTGCAATGACATAGGAGAAAAATTTCAGCTACAAGATGGATCTAGCAGTTTTCTGTTCTCACTTTACAAGTGTTTCATTTTTCAGTTAAAGAATGATAATTTAAAAATGGGTTTCTAAAAACAGATGTTTCTCATTGCCCTTGTAAAACACTCAACAGTCTCTACTTTATTGTAGCCTTCAGCTGAATTCAGGATCTTTGCAGACTAGACCTCAATCAACTCAGCAAACTGATTGTCAGTACCACCCAGCTGGCAGCAGAGTGCTGGAACAGTGCTCAGAAGCCCTGGCTGTGCTTTTGGGCTGTGGGTACCTGCAGATGGTAATTTTGATTAATTTTGCAGCAGAGAAACTATTACTGCAAGAGGCAGCCAGCAAAGCCAGTGAGCCCCATATGCTTTGATGTACAGGGCAAGTGTGTTCTCACTGTCCTCTAGGAAAACTGGTAATAAAGCTCATGTTCATGGTGTGTCCGGAAGCTGGAGCAGGGACAGATGTGTGCAAGCACCTGGAAAGGGAAGAAGGTTATCTACCTGCCACTGGACAGGGAATGCACATCAGCAATACAAACCCAGTTCCCTTTTCCTCCTTCCAAAGCTCCTTGGTAGCAGCACAAGCATTTGTTCAGCTGGTTTTGGATCTTTTACAGAGATGACTTGGGCAACAGGCAGGACACATCAGAAAACCACTGAAGTAATTAACCAAATGCACCTACACAAAGCAACCCAAACCCCAAAGAACGAGAAGCCCACGTACAGCAAGACCTCTTCTGCCATGGCAAGATCACTGCTCATAAGCAGTACCGAGAAGGCAGCATTACACCAGTCACCTGACCGTTTCAGATGTGGGCAGAAGCACCAGAGGTAGCATTATACCCTTGGGGAGGGGTAGCATGTCCTGGCAGCTCAGTGTATACGTACATAGCAAGCAGCTGCACCTGTGTCACTGCGTGCTCAAGTTGGTTTGGCTAAAGTCACAGATGTCATCTTTTCATTTACTTAAAACCCCTGGTAACAGCCCCCTAAGACTCAGTTTCAACAAAGCAGTGGATGAGGAAGAGAGGCCTGTCTTTGACTTCTTTAGCAAAGTCCTCTGTCCTGTTTACCAGAGAGTGAGGAAAACACTTTCAGACCTGTAAGAGGGCTCGACTTCCTCAGTTTGGCCCAAGCCCTCCCCTGCCTTCTAAGAAGCAGGAGTAGGTCCTCTTGTCCTTCAGCCTGTATTCCCAGAAACAGCCAGCAATGGCCAGCACTTCATTACAGAAAGACTGGAGAAATTTATTATAACAAGGCTGGCTTTAGGGGATGAAAACTTCCCAGCTTGTGAGGGCACATGAGTGTAGCTCTCTGACTGGAAGCCTGTCTCTAAAAGGTGTAAATGGGCCACAGACCCCAAGTTCTGAGCAGAGGGGTTATTTTTAGAACACCAGGACTAAACAGAGGCCAAATCTGGTACAAGGTGTCCAGTGTCAGAGAAGCCATCATTTCAGTTAACAAAAAATTGCTCTCCAATTAACACCAACACGAAGATGGTCATTTAGCCCCTCCCCTCCCAGCATGCTTGCGCTCGATGCCTGTGTGGCGCTACGTATTGAATTACCAAGCAGCTGCTCCCCCGTGTTTTATTAGCAGGTGTGAAATTAGTGATGCTGCCCGGAGAAGGAGGTGGCACCGTTGTTGGCCGGCGCTGAAGCGGCGTGGCAGGCTGGGGATGCGCGTCACTGTCATCTAGCGGCCGCTGCCCACCTTGCCTGCGGAGCGGCAGCAGCAGAATACAGCAGCGACTTCAATTCTGCAAGGCCGAAACCTCAGGTAGGCTTGTACCTCCGGGCTTTCTCTGGGACAGTGATGGGTGATGCACCTCGTGGAGAACAGAGTCCTAGTACCACAGAGCTTTTATAAGACAGCCAGTGTAGGCGCCAAAGGATCCTGAGGTGGGATTCCTGGCTAAATTTGGTGAAGCTTCTATTAGCTCTTCATGGCAGGTACTTACAGAAACCTAAATAAGTGCGTGCTCCCTCAATTTTGGCAGACTTGTCCCACCTCTCCATAACTCCCTCATTACCACAGCACTGCATGAATTGGCTGCTAGCACTTGTGAAAGTGTTCTCTGTGGTGAAAGTGGTGAGAAACTCCCCTGCTTTTCCGCTGGAGAATGCTGCTACAGAAGGTCCAGCTGAATGGCACACTCCTAATCTGCCTCAGCACAACCAGACAGCAACTGATGGAAGCACTTTGTGCTAGCGGAGGTGATTTTGCACTGAATGGATTAGGAAGGACTTACACACCGTTTTGTCAGACGATTTGCAAAGACCACGAAGATGAAAGTCAGTAATGGCTTACGTGGATGGAGCTAGACAAAGGCAAGAACATCAGCCTCTGATGAAAACAGGCATAGGATAGGATTTCATGCACTTTAATAATGCTCCATTGTGCATGCAATGTTCCAGTTACACTGATTTACAAGGGACAGTTGTACCAATAGTCTTCCATTTAGACACAGCTCTTTGGTAGCAAAATTATACACAAGTCACATCACTACACACTACCAGCAACAACGGTTACGTTTTCTTGTACAGAAGAACCCCTTAGGACAAAACACTGTGGTGTTTCCCCTGATCAAATGCTGCAGGTTAAAGTTGATGTCTACAGGTTAAAGTAATCTAAAACTTCCTACTCTAAGACCCTCCTCTCTACAGCTCAAATGTTTAGTCAAGCTCTTTGAAAAGAAAGATTTTTGTCTCAGACACATTAAAATTAAAGGCTTGGTAGCCACAGTTGCAACCTAGCTGGCTCAGCCATCGTTCTTCTGGCTTAGTATTTCTGTGAACAGCTGACTACCACAGAACTGAGGTGCCTTTGCAAGAGAATTTGAGAGCTTCCTTGCAATCCACATGACAGTAAACACTTGAAAGAAAAAAAAAGGAACATTTTTGTTACAACATGACTTTTCTTTTGTTGCTGTTGTTTTTAAGCTGAACGCCAGTCTTCAGCATAGGGTTTTCATGATTTGTCTGGTTACACATTTGTTCTACATGAGACAATGTCTTTTTTCTGTTAAGAGTATGTTCTACATGAGACAATATATTTTCCCTGTTATGTATCTGCTTATTTCCTCATTGGTAAACTTAGCTCAGAAGTGGCATTATCTTTGCAAGTACCACTGTGCTTGCATAACCAGTACAAAAACCTACTAACTTTGTCAGTAGATAGCTCTTTGATGATTACTTCTAGACATCATTTTAGAGAGTAAGGCCATAAATTGACCACATCCCAAAAATGCATTTTGTCAGAGGGATCCTACTGTTTTTGCCACAGAAGACTACAGGACTAAATCTAAGCTCTTCCCTCAGACCACAAGTGACTAAGAGGTCACATCCCAAAAGACACTGTCCCAGTGGACACTGTTCATCAGTCTTACCTTGGGATGACTTATTCTTGCTGAAATTCATGCAAGTGTCTATAAAGAATACTCTGCTTTATTCCAAGCGTCCTGTGAATCCTGTTCGTGAAAGACATGGGAACACCATACACAGAGGAACAATTCTCTTCCCTCCTCATTGATGATGTTTATTTTAAGGATTGCATTTGACTGTTGTATTTCTGAGCTTCCTTGACTGGTAGTGGCAAATATGTTACTAATAGGAAAAGGAAAAACAAAGAGGTCCCAAATAAAGCCATTCCTCCAGCTCAGAGAAGATACGTAACATTACCAGTTAATCTCTTGACCTGTGACTTCAGTTCAATCTGGTTACAAAGGGTGAATAAAATCATTTAAAAAATCAGATTTTCAGCCATCTGAACAGAATTCCAAGAAAAAACGAAGCAGATCTTCTAGGATCCTCAAAGGATTTTTCCTGACTGTGCAGATAAGAATTCAAGGCTCCACTGAATACATCAAGTGTACTGAAAGTTTCCGGGTTAAGAATACTCCAGCGCAAAAGACACCTCACTGCAATAGAATCCAGTATCTGTGAAAGGGGATATTTTATCTCTACCACCATCTGAGAAGGACAAACTACACACACATAAAGACCAAAAGAAACACACTAAAAAAATGCAGACAAATGCTTTAAGTTATGTTTTTATTACAAAATTACACTTGGAGTTAGTTGCATATAATAGCATATGCTGACAGTGTTGCACAGCTGCTCCCACATAAGGGAACAACTGCAGAGCCTGCTTGCACTAACCATGTTACTTTACATCCACTACAGCTAAATTAACTGCAGTCATTACTGCATCTGATGAGACAGTGTTAGGAACTACAAGTAGGTAAGCCAGGACATGAGAAATTGTTATATGCCTCACAGAATCACAGAATAGTTTATTTTGGATAAAACCTTTAATATCAAGTCCAACCGTTAACTGAGTACTGCTCAAATAGTAGGTACAGCTTTATGTATTTTCAGTTAGGAACTAAAACCTTTACTTGGTGCATTTCAGTAATTAAGCCTTGATACAAGCTGGGCTAAAAGATTCCTACAGAAACCTGGACAACTTTATGGAACAGGTCATGAGGGAGCTGACTCGGAAAGATGCCCTCCTTGATCATCTGCTTGTCAACAGAGTGGATCTCGTGAGCGAAGTGGACACTGGTGGTCTCTTGGCCACAGCGACCATGAAGTCAGCGAGTTTAAAATCTCCACTGGCAGCAGGAAAAGTGCCAGTGAAACCTCAGCTCTGCACATGAGGAGAGCAGACTTCAGGCTGCTTGGGGAATTAGGAAGTAAGGTCCCCTGGGAAAATGTTTTTGCAGGTGCTGGGTCCATCAGTGCCGGTCACTTTTCAAACATCACCTCCTGAGGGCACAGGAGCAGCAATTCCCAAATGCTGGAAGTCAAGCAGCTGAGGCAGAAGGCCAGCCTGGCTCAGCAGGGATCTTCTCTTGGAAATAAGGCAAAAGTGGAAAGTCTATGCCCAATGGAAGCAAGGTTAAGTGACATGGGAAGAATTCAGAGATGCTCCTCGCCGCTGCAGGGAGAAAATCTGTGAGGCCAAAGCTCAGCTGGGGTTGAAGGTGCCAGAAATGTGAGGGACAATAAAAAGAGTTTTTTCCAATATATTAATGGAGAAAGGCAGCATAGAAATACCATCAGCCCATTACAGGATGAGGATGGTCACCTCACAAACAGGGACAGAGACAAGGCAGAGGAGTTTAACTCTTTCTTTGCCTCTGTCTTCAACAGGGATGATGCACCAAGGGGGTCTCAGTGCCCTGAGCTGGAGGACCATTTACTGCCAGAATGATCAACATCAACTCCTACTCAACCCTGAAATTGTGTGGGATCTGCTGCTCCAGCTGGATCCTTACAAATCTACAGGGCCTGATGGGATTCATCCCAGAACGCTTAAAGAGCTGGCTGATATCATCACAAAACCTTTCTCAATGTTTTTTGAGAGGTCTTGGTAGCCTGAAGAGGTCACATTGCACTGGAAGGGGGCAAAAGTTGTCCTGATTTTCAAGGAGGACAAAAATCAGGACCCCAGAAACTACCGGTTTACCAGCAAGTACTGGAAGATTACTCTTGGAGGTACTGAAGAACACCTGAAAGACAATGCTGTCAGTGGTCACACTTCTCTGGGATGACCAGTGACAGAACATGAGGGAATGGCCTGAACTTGTGCCAGGGGAAGTGTAGGTTGGATATTAGACAAAGATTCTTCACCCAGTGGGTGGTTGAGCACTGAACAGGCTCCCCAGGGCAGTGGTCCCAGCACCAAGCCTGACAGAGTTCAAAAAGCATTTGGATGATACTCTTAGGTACATGATGTTACTCTCGGGGATGGTCCTGTGCAGGGCTAAGACGTGGACTTGATAATTTTTGTGGGTCCCTTCCAACTTAGCATATTCTGTGATTTCTTGATTGCATCAAGAGCTATCACCAGAAGCAGCAGTGAACCAGGACAATACAGCACTCTGCACTCCTCTTTCATTGCAACATCTCCTCACTGGGGTAACACTCCACTGGATTTTAAACTAGTTGATGACTCTACTTAGTATTGCTTTAGAATGGCTTGAGAGCTTAACACTGCACTGTTTTCTCCCACATGCAGTTACTGCGGCTTATCTGTCAGTGTGCTGGTCTGTTCAGTGCCTGAACTGTGCTTGCTCTTAAGGGACCTCCCAATGTATCTCCAGTATTCCTTTCGAATGGTGTCTTTTTCTTTAGCCAGAATTTCACACAACTACGAAAGAAAAATAGAGAGATTGCAGTGTTAAACCACAAGCTTACAGAATCCTTGTCTTTATGAAGTGCGTACAATACATGTTCCAGATAGTATTAGAAACACCTTTCTCAACAACAATATTAGTTTTATTTGCTGGACTTACACCTGTCCAACAATATCAAACTGATGACAACTCCAATTGGTAGTCAACCAGTCTGGCACTGCACAAAAACCCCTCCAGTTCCATTTCAGTCTCAACAGTTTCTTTGTGACTTCTTTCCATGCCTACTGCTTGTCATCCCCTCTGGCCTATTCAGTCTGTAGTATATCACAGTATACTTCCTTGACTGTCTTTTAGTGATCCAACAGGCTGTAAACCACTTGATTCCAAACACTGGAGGATCATCCTGCTCTTTAATCTTCAGTACTCCTAATGGACAGACAGGAGAAACTCTGTTTCTGGTTTTTTTTGCAGCAGACTGTCCCAAAAGGGTTCTACATGCAAGTCAGAAACCACCTCTCATGATGTGTTAAGAGTTGGTGCTATACATTTCTATATGTTTGGGTTTTTTTTTTTAATTTTGGTCTGGGTAAGCATTCAGGTACATCCTACTCAGAGGTTAGGTTTTGTAAATTTTACATGGTATGAACACTGTCTACAAATGTTCTACTAAATTCTCTTTTATTATGCAGATGACATTGCCACACTCATTGAAATGGAGTTGAGAAATTAGGAGCCTGGATGCATAAACAGAGGAAGAAATCAAATTCAGTGAAATAGTATAAAGGGGACATAAATCTAGGGGGTTACAATAACATAAACCTAAGCGGTTACAACAACTGCTCTTAGTTGCAATCTCCTCCTAGAGCACAACAAAGGGGAAATGTTGAGAAAGAATAATGTTGAAACACGAAGACATCAGGCAAAACTGCAGCTCTAATTACATCAAGCTCCAGTCTGTTTCACAGTGAATGGAAAGTCTAGTAAAAATTACACTACAAATGGCACCAAGGAGTACTCAAAGACGAAGCACTGGGAGATAAACAACATTGCTAGAATTTATTCTCTGGAGGAAATGGTGCCTGACATTTCTTACTGATGTCCCCAGTGTCTGCTGGCCATAAGCTAATTGTGACAGCTTTCTTAGAAAAAGCTAAGAAGGGCAAAAGGAGCTTGAGATTATTTGGATACAGATATTCTGAAAAAAAACCATTAACTTACAGAGATGAGAGTGAGTTCATGCTACAAAGTTAACATTGGAAACTCTTTGATTGTTTAAACCTTTTCTTTCTTCTGCAGGCAGCATTAGAAACCTTCCTTTACTACCAGGTGAAGAAAACTTACCATGATTCTGTAAATAATGTTATAATTTAAATTCATGAGATCCTTGTGATTGTCTGGCTTTTGTGTTCAACTCTTCAGAGACCACTCATTTTTAAAAAGTAACCTGTTCTACTTATGAAATTCAACCCCATTTTGTCAGGTTGTAAAACCAGAGACAACAAGAGATGGCATCTCTGAGAAGCAAAACTGAGTCCTCAAAACGTACCTCCAATGCCTTGTTCAGTGTTTCTTCCTTGTTATCACACTGGTTTTCAAGCATATCTTCATATATGTCCACAAGGAAAGCAATCAGATAGGGTGAACTGTGACTGGGCTGCAAATTCAACAGCTCCTCCAACAGATTTGGATACTTAGAAAGACCACGATCCTGCAGAATCCTAGAACAGAGGTTAACAGGCTTGACACGTGATGATAGGAAATCTGGTGTGAATAACTGCATTTTTGTTATGACTCCTTTACTTGGAGATCAGTTTTTGAAAGCAGGGTGCAAATACAAGTAAGGCAAAGGTAAGTGGCATGCAGCACTAGTACAGCTTAAATTTGCAGTAAGTATAGTACATGCTCAACTGAATAGAATTTAGACTGAAAGCATGTTCCCTATTTCCTACTCTGTGCTCTTGAACCCAGTAACATTACAGTTTTTAAAAGCAGGAGAAGTACCTGCGGTCCTCCTACAAGAACTACAGGATCAGAAGCCTAGTGGAAAGTTACAGAGAAATGAGGTTAATGTAGTAACACCTTGTGTCAGTATTTGTCTGCCTGTTTAGGCACACTACACTAGAATGAACAGCAACAAGTTCTTTTCAATTAACAAGTAGGCATAAGACACCTTATCCAGATACTCTCTTTGCCTCACAGAGAAATAGACCTCACCCTTTTAAATAGTTCCAAGCACTCTCGTTATGTGGCACTGCTTTGAGCATCTCAAGAGTGTACCTGCAAGAAAAAAAGAACAGGCCACGAATGCACCCAATAACAATACAGTTAGAAACTACCTGAAAATGCTCAGAAGATTCCAAATACATCCCCCTGGTCTATACTTCAGCCTTTTTGCAGATCATCTCTGAAACGAGAGCAAGGCCTAAAAGAGTTAACTGAGGTATCTTGCTCTGTTGAGAAAAAGCCCCAACACCTGCTCTGCCTGTGCTGCTAAGGAAACATTCCAAACTCGTTCTGTTCTGTTCACTGGACCTAAACCTAAGAAGAATGCTAGAAATGCTATACAATCAACCTAGAGGCCATAAATTAAGACAGGGTAGACATTTGAATAGGAGAAAAGGGCTTTGAGCCAAGGGTTTTTGCAAGCTTCAGTAGTTGGGAAAGCACCACCCCAAGCTCTGCCCAGACTCTGTCTATTATCAATATGCATGATTAGATGTCGTAATCATATGAATATATATGGTAAGATGTTTTAATCACAGATTTAGACTGCATAAAGGCACCTCTCATACAGTCACAAAGCCACATTTCACCTCCACAAAACAGACTTTATCTTCTGCCCTTTCCCAGCATAACCAGGCATTCCAATGATTTCCAGAGACTGCAGATAAAAAGTTATATCAGGAGTACTGGGGGAAAAAAAAAACCAAAACCAAATCCTAACTCTTTTTTAACATTCTGGAGTCACTAGGACAAAGACCAAGTTTATTGAGCATTAAGCAGCCCAACTAAAATTCTGTAATGACATCTGGGAAGTTTTAACCTTTGACCTAAGTCTGCTTCTTAAGATGGGATCCAATTATCTTGAGCAGATCAAGGGAGGATCTCCAGACTAACCTCTCGAGAGAAGAAGTTGAAAACATCCAAGTCTAAGCCATGGAAATAGTCCAAATTTATTAATCTGCAGGAGAGTTACAAACTGGTAGAGAAGTACAACTTGCAGCAGGTTGCAAAGACAACCATGAAAGGTGGTGAGGCCTGGGATCCTCTAAAAACAATGTACTAATGGACCTACTCAGAAATTCAGTCTTTCTTCTGAAGAATAACTCCAAAAAACTGCAGTGCCTTATTTTGATTGCTTGTCCACATTAGACAAATATCTTCTCATAACTAACAACCCTGATCAGCAGCCTGAGATATGAAAACTATCTATGTAAAGAACCTTCTCTTACCACCATGAGTAGTGAAATACATGTCTAGAATCCCAGTTTGCCTTCAGTTAGAAACATACCACTTAGAAACAGTGAGTTCATTTTCCTCAAAACTGGCCAACTCACAGAGCTGGTTCTCTTTGTGCCAGCCACATACCCCTGAAAGCTCCTTTCTTTTTCCAGCTCCATCAAGTTCCTCACGAAAGGCAACTGCTCTTCCTACAGTCCATGTCCACATTACATTTAAATCGCTGTGGCTACCATACTGCTGAAACAGCAATTTAGTAAAACACAAAGAGTGCCTGTCATTCCAAGCTTTCTAGAGGTAGGATATTAATGAATGGCACAACTGAAGTGGTTCCACTGTCACAGATTTCCTGCAGGTTTTCCCACTAGTAGCTAGTTGATCATAAAAAGCCAAAAGTTTTGGGGTAAGCAGAGCTTGCTTCAGTCTAACACCTGATCTGCTCTCCATGATGGTGAGCCTTAAAAGTGCATGAAAAACAGGAAACACAAACCCATGCAGCCTGTCAAAGTATTTCTTTGCTTCCATGTAATGGAGAATGCTTAATGTGAGCCTGAAGGGCATAACTAACCGGACTTCTCTGTCTAGGACTGCTGGATCATCATAGCCAGTGGTGTTGAAAATGACAAAGTGTCGTTGGTTCCAAACAGAGTTGTTTCTCACATCTTCTCTCAAAAGCTGGTCTACATATTCCAGTTCATTGTCCCATAATTTGAACTCCTATGGAAAGGAAAGGAAGAGAGAGAACCATAATCCAAAGTTTTTATGTTTTTAAAATGCATGCTCCTTGCTCCTAAGTTGTCTGAACATCAGATACAGAGACTTTTCTTGAAGAAATCAACACAAAGTTCAAAATAAAAAAGTAAGGGTGCACTAGGAACATGCTACACTATTCAGTGGCACTCAAAAGTTATTAGCTCATCATTAAATTCACACACATAACAGTAAAAAAAACAACAAGGAAACTTTTTGACCTCACTTCCTCAAAGGCAAGTTCATAGCTAACCCCTACCACACATTAAAAATGCAGTTGCTTTCCCCCCTTCAGCCTTAAGGAACAAAGTGCTAAATGCAATTCAGGTTGTATGTAAGAAGCAAAACTACAACCTAAGCAGGTTATTTAAAGGATCAATGAGTTCTGAGGATATACAATACCTGAATAACCCACTGTCTGTGTTGCCATGCATGGTAATTTTTGGCATCTTGGTTAAGAATGTCAGCTATGAACTCAAGCTCTTGGGATGGATCCTGCAGCCACTCCACCAACACCCGTCTGTGATGCCTGATGACAAGAGGAATCAAGTCTAAAATTTGTTTGTGAATGTGTGGTCTGTATTAAAGCGGCATACAGCAACTTAGGAAGTACTTCTTAGTAAAAAAAAATTAGTTAAGTATTTCAAATTAAATACACCAAAACATTTCACTTGGCTCTGAGAAATGTATGATGTCTACTTCTATTACAACAAATTCTACCGACACACACATTGGCCAAACATCTCATGTCAGGCAAGTAAAGTTCACCTGAAGTAACATATTTTCACTTTTAACACTCGTGGCCAAAATCTTTAGCAGGATAAAATTTTCTAGTACTACATCATTTTCTCCAGCAATAACAACATTGCTGTTTTTCCTATTCCCATTCACTTTGGAGAAATCCAACAACAGGCAAGCGAACTCCAAGACACAATAAAAGAAAAAATACTAATTTCTATTTGTCTCTTTGTTTGCTTTTTCACAAGTCACCTTTTTTCATCTGTCAGACTTATTTTGACTGTTTAAAAATTGAAATTAACAAGAAAACAAGATCTGTTTAGCATGTTATGAGCATATGTTTAGAACAAATAGCTGAAGAGAACTTTGACATGATGCAACTCCATTTAACTCCTCCATTACTGCCACTGCAGCAGCTGCAGAATGCAACTTTTAATAACTTTTAGGATCAATGGTCACAACTTATGGACAACTGACAAAGCAAAAATTATCTGCAAAAATGTTACAAGCTGAAAAGACTGCAGGATTTTACCAGACTTGGTAGTTCTTTGGCTGATCTTCAATGATAGCTGTAATATACTTAAGTTCCTCATGGAGATCTTTTCCCAAAGACTGCAGGAGGACTCTCCGGAAATGCCTGTATAAAAGTCAAGCATTTGAACACTGCAACAGGACTTTCCCAAAATTCACAGAGCAGAACACAGAATCACCTTTGTTCACAGTTCTTCCAATAGATACCGAGTTAAAAATAGTGAAAAAACCAAAAACAGTGCAAAAACCTAAACCACATGTCTGGTTCTATTGAAGGGCATTCAATTATTGAACAGTGGACAACTGGAACATGACTGGTTACAACAGTATGTAAACTAAGATTCTAGCAATGCTGTTTCAAGGTAACATGTCTACCCACACTAGTCTTGTCAGAAACTGCAACTTCTGTGCTTAAAATAATGTAAACTTTCAGATTTCATGGAAGTTAGCACTTGTTAGCTTTTGCGAGTTAAAAGGCCCTACTCTGAATATCAGAAATTCACTGTTTATTCATTACATATCTAAACAGTAACCTGACAGATCTCCTAAAATTCACTACTTAGTAAGGATAAACTTCTTTGCTATCATGCTTTTTATGCCTCTTCTTGAAGTCAGCTGAGTCTTCTTGAAGTCATCATCAGCATTTTGCCAAGGCCACATTATCACATAAGTGATACAATTTTAAACTGCAAAGTCCTTTTTGTGGCTAACCCTGGCCTTGACTGATAATACCCCCAACGCCAAAAAAAACCACTGAATCAAAACGAGACACGGAAGAACACCAAACAAAGGCTTTCTTTGGAAGCTCACTGGAAATCTACAAACTCCCCTGTGTAAACTCAACTAGTCGTGCCCTTATTGGACTAATAAGATACTGAAGACATAAGAGGTAGGCAATCAAATGACTGCAGAAACAATCCCAAGATGATTACGTACCATACTGTGTAGTTTGCAGCGTTTAACTCAATGGCATCTGCTGTCAGCTTGAAAGCTCTTTCGCTCCTCTCATCCCGCTGCAGAACAGCCCGGAAGTAATCGTAGACATCTCGAACTAAACAAGAGAACAGCACCTTATCCCAGGCTCTGAAACAATGGTGTAGTGTGCTGATCCTGGCTGGATGCCAGGTACCCACTAAAGCCACTCTCTCACTCCCCTCTGCAGCTGGACAGAGGAGAGATTTGTGAGTTAACAGCTGGGAGAGGTCAGCTACTGATCACCATCAGACTAAGAGTGGGGATATTAATTGATTTTATTACTAAAAGGGTCAGAGTAAAAGAGTGAGAAGTAAAATAACCTTCAAAATGCCTTCCCCCCACCCCTCCTTCCTTCCATGTTGTCCCTCCTCCCCCTCCAGCGGTGCAGGGGTGTTGGAGATGAGGTAGTTTATGAGGAGATGGAAAACGCATTTGTGGCATGGAAAGATGAAGGGAAAAGAGAAGAGTGTTTTGACGAATGGAAACACCAGTGTTTAAAGACTTTGTTGTGGCAGCCATGTTAAAGTTCTAAAACCTATTGGTAGGTTGACTCCCTTATTTTTGTCTCCCATCATGGACTTTCTGCCTGACAGGCATGGAGACAGTTCCTGATAGGTCTGTGTACCATGAGGTACTGACCGACCATGTTCTCCCTGGTTAACTCCTCTCTTGTTAACACCTAGCCATGTTTATTCCCTATCACTGTTAGCGGATTTGCATGTTCCGCCCAATCTCCGGCCTGTTTCCAGAGCCTTCTTCCCATAACCCTATAAAACCCACCATTTTGTCCCAATAAAGTTAGATCAGCCCTGGCTGTTGGAGTGTTCATCTCTGTCGTGTCTGCCTCTTCTTAGGTGCGCGCGTCAAGGGGAATTAACTCTCAGCCACTGCCTATCGCCTTTCTAACACCGAGTCTACAGGCTAGGCAGAACCCTGACGCTGGTCTGGTCCTTTCCTAGCATCAAAACTGCGTCACAGGGGGACGGGGAACGGGGGTTGTGGTCAGTTGTTGTTTCTGCTGCTGCTGAGGGAGAGGAGTCCTTCCCCTGCTCCCGTGGGGTCCCTCCCACAGGAGACACTCCTTGAACTGTTGCCATCCCACAGGCAACAGTTCTTCCCAAACTGCTGTCCCGTGGGTCACTCCTCCATGGGGTGCAGTCCTTTACCAATGAGCTGTACCACTGTAGGTCCCTCACAGGGGCCACAAATCCTACCAGGAAAAACCTGCTCCAGCCTGGGCTTCCCCCTCCATGGGCTGCAGGTTCCCTACAGGACCCTGCTGCATCCTGGGCCTCCCATGGGGTCACAGCCTCCTTCCTGCATCCACCTGCTCCAGCATGGACTCCTCCATGGGCTGCAGGGGCACAGCTGCCCCACCATGGACTGCACCAGGGCTGTAGGGCCTGGAGAACCTCCTGCCCCTCCTTCTGCCCTGACCTTGGTGCCTGCATTATTGTTCCCAGGTTCTCACTCTGCTCGTCCTTGGCTGGAATTCTTTCTGTGCCATAATCTTCTGGTTTTAGATATGTTATCCCAGAGGCATTACTGTCATTCCTGATGGACTCAGCCTTGTCCAGGTGCAGGAAGCCGGCTCCAGGACAGGCAATGGCTCCCCCAGACAGGGGAAGCTTCTGGCAGCTTCTAACAGAAGCCATCCCTGTAGTCCCCCCACTACCAAAACCCAGCCACAGAAACCCACTACAAATGGCCTGATTAGAGAGTAAGGTTAATATTCCTTTGAAGTTACTTCCTGTTTTGTGTACTTCAAACACACGTCTTTAAAACAACAGCTACATACTGCTCTGACAGCGCCTCTGACTGAAACCTCTGCATGGTATTAGCCCACTGAAAAGCTGCAAAAATATGTCAGAAATACACCATCTGAGGTAACATCCAAAACAATCATAAAAGTTCCAGGCTGCCTACTC